ATATAACAATCCTTCACAATAGATTTGAGATTCCATCATTCCAGGGTGGTAAGAAGGCTGCTGCATCTCTGAACTACTGATTCGAGAAGCTCTGCCTTTAAAATGCATGCACAGCTATCAAATACACGTACCTATCACTGTATAGGTTAATATTTGTATTGTCAGTCATGAGAACAGCCCTCATAAAAAGGATGTAGTGGTGAAGTGGTATGCTGAGGACTTATGCAAGTGGAGCAGTTCCATTTGAGTCCTTCCTCTCTTTCTTTGCTGCTGAAGACCATGAGTGACCTGCAAATGATTTTTGAAGAGTATATCTGTACAAAAGAGAAGTCTTCAAGTTTGGAAGAGAAAGGGAATGACATTTGACAGTTTATTTTTTCCCAGTACAGTGCAAGAGGGCTTTTCTTCTCCTCCTTCAACTACAGTGCTCTGTTTCAGAGCTCTTGCTAGTAAACTGCCTACTGGGATGTGCTAGTCCAGCAAGTTTCCCAAGCTTTTAGTCAACTGGGAATCCATTGTGCACTCCCAATTTTTCTGTTAAGACTTTGATGTGAGAGAAATTGAGTCAATTAGTAAACACTGCTGTGCAGGGCTTTCTCCGAGGGAGACATCCCTCTGAATATTGGCTGGCCTCTAGGGCTGGAGGCTCCAGCTCTCTGAGATTTCACATATCAGAGCTGTGGGGCTGGGGGTTGGTCCCTGAATACCCAAGTTTTGTAGGAGAATACAGATGTGGCGGCTGTCGTGTCTGAATGCTCACCGCTCAGAGCATGGCCCTCTTAATTCTGCTATGTGCAACCGGCAGTGAGGAAACGATAAAAAAAAGACATAGATGCTAGCAAACAGATTGAGCCAGTGTGCGGTGCAATAGGACATATCTCACTATTTTGAAGGAAAAATGCTGAATAAGAGCTCCACTCTTGCATTTTTATACATAAAACTAAATAATAACCTGGCCTGAAAATGCCAAAGTAGCTTAATCAGAGGGTGAGAGAGGCCCTCTCGATATGGGTTTGGAACAAGAGCCCAGTGGCTTTTGCTCCCTTATGCAACTATCCTTAGGAGTAACGCTGCTCAGGCACCATGGTACCCAGGTACCCATAGCTGTGAGACAATATTAGCCAGGAGTTCTCTCTCTCTTTTTCCCTTTTCTCCTATGCTTTTCCTCCCGTTTCTGTTACGTAACTGTCCTAGACCCTTCTTCTCTCTATCTTCCTACTACTTACCGATCAGGATAGTTTCTTTTATATCCTCCCTGTCCACGTTATCTCTTTGGGTGGGATTATCTTCTCCAAGATTTATCTTAAACATCTTTATTGTGGGCATCTAAGATTTATATATAGTTTTATTCTTCATCTATTCAACTCACTTCTTCAACCATTTCCAGCAAGGACCTTACCAATGCTGTGCTCCGTTCTTCCTCCTATGCTGCACCGGATGAGCAGACCACCCTTAGAAAACTTCCTGAAACTGTTTCTCTGATTATTGTGAGAGGTGATTTCTGTGAAATGAGGGCACAGTCTGCATTGCATAGGCCAGGTTCTGATAGCTGTGTTTGCAGGAAATTGCTTTCCACGGGATTCAGGGCAATCTGTGGGACCACTTGCAGGAAGACACAATGCCTAATATGAGTTAGGACATCGGAGCGCGGTGCTCTGGGATTTAATGGCAGCATGGGCAGGTGACAATACATACCTGGGAAAACGGTGGTATAAATTGTCTTAAAAGAGAAAACAAAAAAAATTCAGAACTGGTCCCAAATGGCTTCATTTTGCTTCCAGAGGCAAGTCTACATACAAGGCAGGGCACATAGTTAGAGAAACCGTTTGCTTTCAAAACTGAGCTCTCTGTGTGCTGCCTTGGTTGATTTTCTTTGTTTCGTTTTTTCAATTGATCATCCCATAGATTATCTTTCTCCACTCTTACAGGATGAAAGCCTTATGGTGGTACGCATAAACCACCACCATGAACTCCTATCCAGTTGTATTGCAAACACTGCAAATGTTAGTAAAAAGGTGCAACTACTGGACAGGCTGATTTAGTAAGAACAATACTAAGAGTAATAACACAGTAAAACCCACGCTCCCTTCACAAATGTACTGTATATCGATTTTTTTTAGCTAATAACCTTGACAGGTGCCCCAATATTTTTTTTCTTTAATGTGGTCTTTATATTTTCATCCTGAGTATTAGCATAAATTTTATGGGATTTTCTAGGCATATTTGTGTCTCTATCTAAGATATATGATATCAGCTGGCAGTGATGGTTGAACTAATCAAATACTACTGACAAGTTAAAGCAAATTTTGGGACTGTGAGATTTTGAGCATCTTCCCAGATACAGTGTCTCCTGACTGAGAGCAGTCCTTGACTGTCAAGTTTAAATGCCAGATTTGGGGCTTAACCTTTATGTAAGCAAAACACCCCGAAAAGAAATATGTCTGAGTAAAGCTAAAAAGTCAGGTCCTCCCCTTAAACCTGGTCTGAAGTATGTGTGTGCGTGCCCGCACGTGTGTATGTTTGTTTATGGCCCTATCGCCATGGTTTGTGAGTGATTCCAACCAGTGGGCACCAAATGAGAATCTTGCACTGAATGGACTTGTGTTTTCTTTTTCATTTTTTTGACTTGGCATTTGTTCCTCCTAGCAAACGTTTTTTAAAAATCTCTTATTGCTAGAGGGGAAATTGACACCCTTTGCTTTCACGATGATACATTCCTAACACGTTTCCTTGAAGAGCTGGAAATGGTGCAAAAATCTGGTAAGAAAAGGCTCTGTAAAGCCTTAGAAGTCAAGCATTCCACTTTAGACATTTAAGACAAATGCATGGCAAAAACAAGTTGTTTTTTTAAGGTTTCTACTTAAAGTTATGTGCCAAAGCTACAGTACTTATACATTTTCTAAATGTGTTTTAAGCAATAAGTTGTACAACATTTTTAGAACATGTGTTAAGCTATTTCTCTAAGAATGAAGCTCTTAACAAAACATAAGCACTCTGCATGAGATCTTAGCAGCAAAGTGCTTAAAAGATAAAGTAAGAATTGGTACCATGGGAAGAACACCAGCTGTAGAGCACACAGGTCCATTATGAGAAGTATGGTAGTGGGTAGGGAGAAAATGATTTAATCAGGAGTAAAACCAATTTTATTATAAGGGCACGCAGGGGGTGTGGCACCATAGTGAGAGGGACATTTCAAAATATCTGACAGATTTCAACAATGTGAAAACCCACCCTGTTCTTTAAAGTGACAGTAAACCCCATCAGGTCTCTCTTTTTGATGCTATTGTTAGCAGTTGACTGTTTAAAGCTGGCCTGCTAAGATGCTGTCGATCTAGTTCAATAGTGTGTGGCAAAATAAAAGGCTAATTGTTGAAATACGATCAATCAAATATGATCTCAGAGTCTAAAGAAGATCCCCTCAGCTAAGAGATCAAATCAGCACTTTTATGATTGAGACAATTCAATGGGGGCGGGGGGGGG